GGTCCGAGGGGGGGTGTCAGGATTCCATCCCGTTTAGGTTTAGCGTCCCGACTTAGTCAGCCTATATATAGTTGGCCCCTGAGCCATCCTAATTGGACACTTGGCGCTTCCCGATTCTCTCAAGAACAGCAAGGCAGCTAACACTAAAGAATCAAAAAAGACAACACAAGATCAAAAACATACAACAGCAGGGATTCGCTGGTGGTCACCCACCCAACTACTAACCGGCCGGCGTGTGGCTTAAGTACGGCTGAGCGGACGGGAAGCCCTGTTTTCCACACCCTATGGTCGTATGTGCTAGATTTGATCTTGGAAGAAAATATATACAATGCGGAGTGGTGATTATCGGGATGAATCTGCCCTGATGGTAGTTAAGAGTGGTAGATGACCTACAACGATGATGATCTCAAAGAGTTGTCGAAATGGGATCATGTCTGCGTAGATAATGCGTGCTGACCGCGCCAGAATAGCTTTGTATTTCTTAAATACCTGCTCATCGTCTGGTTGTCTACAGTAATGAACAGAAAATATGAATTGATGCCGGTGGTATATAGAGCTTTCTAGGTCATTGACCGCCAGGTATCCACGAAGAATCCATGCATGACCCATCTCAATGAGTCCACTAGATGGCAAAGTATACCATATTATAGTGTTTTATATCCTCTGTAGCTGTGCACTTCCATATCACTGTCACATAGTATGAATGCTAACACAATCTCTCTAAAACTCCTACTGTGTTATAGTACTACTCCTGTTGTAAGCATTGTCAAATCCAGCAATTGGCCGAACGCAATAGGCCTTCCCAACCCCCAGCTTCTCATCGCAGACACCCGTAGCAAAAGGTGGATAACACAGATCATTGTACAGGGTTCTTTCGTCCTTGATCTGCCATGACATGCCACCTCCTGCATCTCTTTGTCGTCGGGCCCGCCAGAGCTGCGCCGGCCGGAGGCTGCACCTCCATATCACTCCCGCCTGGCAGTGGCAAAGTGGTCACACCAGTGGGAGGTGGAGTGCCTGTCACCGTACCATCTCGGGGACTCATTTAAAAGCCATGGGTTGTATTGACGGAGGTTAAAACAACCAAACCGAGAGCCTTTTCGATTGTAAGGTAAGTACCATTGTCCTTGAGAATATATTTACCCGGATCTTTCAATTAGATTAGACCAGATTCTATCAGGTCTCTATAAGGCTTGTTTCTTCGCAGGTCATCAATTGCAATGGCTATAAGTTCGGATCATATTAATTCGACATTTGGCATCAGATAAACTTATGAACAGCCCAACAAGATCGTGCCAGCCTCACGCGTTTTTCTCACATAATTTCTGATCAGAAGTGTGCTCAGCCATCTTTTGGAATCAAAGAGAATTTGCGGCAGGTGCGCCATTCAGCTTGAAATACCCCGGCTGCAGCGTCTGATAGACCCGCTTGGGATCATACTTGGCAGCAATGCTGTGCAGTTTGGCCTTGTTGGTAGCCCCATAACCTGCAATGACATCCTGATACTGACTTGCGTAGTTCATGTAGACATATTCATGGAAAACGCCATCACCCTTAGCTTTGGCGGTGACTGTATCCCAGAAACTCTTAGCCCAGGCAACTATCGTTTGGTCGTCCTCCGCATTCTCCCACCAGCACGACATCATCATGAGGTGAAGCGGACCATCCGAGGCATCCAGACCCAGTGCATTACCCCCATGCCGGGTCATGTTCTTGAGCATCGGGATGGTAATGCCTTGGTGGACGAGGTCGGGGTTAATACCCGGAATGCCCAGTACCTGCGGGAGAACAGAGTAGAAGTACTCGGTAACCCAGTTGACAAAGTCCTCATCCAAGCGGACCGTCAAAGTCCAGTACATTTCCCGCAGTCCGTCGGGATTGACTTCCTGGACGGTGTCACAGTACTGGACTAAGGTCCTGGGAGCCGTGGTGTCCTGAATTGCGGGAATAGCGCGATAGGGAGCGAAGATGGCCGGCTCACTGACGTTCTTGACATATGTGATCTCGGCAGCAGCGAGGTTCTGTCCCTGAGTATGGACGAATGCAACCCACTGCTGCGCGTTACCGTCATTGGAGGCGCCGTTGACGACGCTGACGAAGGCGCTGATCACCTTGCTGAATTGGTCCTCAGCAAAGACACGAGTTCCGCCTCGCAGTTCGGGGCTGGGGACAGTATACAGGTTGAACTTGGTGACGATGCCGAGGTTGTTCCCACCGCCTCGGAGAGCCCAGTAGAGGTCGGGATAGGAGTTTGCGCTCGCTGTGACGATGGCACCGCTCGCAGTAACGACCTGCGTCTCTGTAAACTTTGGCAACCAAAGGTGCAATCAATAGCTGTCATACCTCAAAGCTCTCGACGTTATCGCAAGCCCAGCCGTAAAGATTGGAGTAGTACGAGATCCCACCTCCGGTCGTAAGTCCTCCAACGCCAATTGTGGAAACTCGACCGCCGATGACAGCGAGACCATAGGGCTCTAGTGCCGAGTATACTTGCACCCAAACATTGCCAGGGCCAACCGACGCAACAGACATATCCTCATTCAGAGTGACGGCATTCATATCTTTCAGCAAGACGGTAATACCGCCCTGGATACTCGATGCACCCGCAAAGGCAGCATGGCCACCACTCTTGATGGCAAAGGGACAGCCAGTGTACCTTGACAGAAGTACAAGAACAGAAACATCGGTGTTTACCGATGGCTTGAAGATGCAGTAGGGACGAACTTCCTCCTGCTGGACCGACCAATATGATCCTGTGGCATTGGCGTACGCGGTGGTATTCTGCGCGAACGCTCTACTTGGGCCGTAGAGAAAGCTGAGGGTGCCACACTGTAAAATATCAGGCCTTCACATGCATTTCCTAAATTCATGAATTGGAGGTGGTACTTACGGCTGCACGACAGGCGGACTCGGTTGACCGCGTCTGCAGCGATCTCAGGGCAGGAATTGCAGAAACATCAACCCCAAGATTATAAAGCGCTGCATTTACATCGAAATTGTCTGGTTCAAAGATACTGGGTGAAGTCTTGCCTGTTCGTGCGAGAGCGACGGTGCATATGGCGCTCAAGAGAACTGAAAACCGAATCATGCTGCAGCACAAACAGGGTCAGAATACCAGGAGGAAGGGGTCTGGGAAGGAAAACAGAAAATCATTGTCCCTGGGGAGGACACAAATGGCCCAATTTCCGCATCGAATATGCGCTGACGGGGAAGTTCTGCCACTAATGCACGCTATGCTGACCAAGAAAAGGTCTGCCCTGTGAGCTTTGATAATGCGAAGCTAGTGCTTACCAGAATGCTACCTCAATCTGACATGTTGCATTAGCATTCCCAATAGCTGAGAGAAAATGAGCATCGTGCGACCTGGCATGTACTGGAGATTCCAGGACCGATTCATCGCTAGACTAATGAACAGTTTATGCATTAATGGCTCTGTTCAACGGGGCTCGCAGTCCCTATCTCAGACGCAGATCCGATTTGCATGACAGTTGCTTAGCATTCTCGTGGTTGTTATGGAAACCAATATATATCATCACTCATCTTCGACAAACATTTCTTCTGTGATCAAGGGTCCATTCAATATATATCAGACCGTCGGTTGACTCGGGGTGGATGTTTCGTGTCAGCCTGTATGATACGAGAAGTCCTGACTGAGAGACCTTGGAATCTTGATATTCAACTATAATTCAATCAATAGACTTCTGAGTTTCTCCAGCAGGTATCCTTCCTCATCGTGGAGTTCCCTGGTCCCTTTTGTGTCATATGGGTGCTCTCGATGGTGAGGACATGTATGGCTGATTTCAAAGGCTTGAAATGTGATGTATCGAAAGCCTTGCGTGCAATGTCACCGTAAAAGGGATCACGGGACTCTTCGTCTATTGAGTCAGGAAGATGCTTGATTGTCAAGAAGGGTAGCCCTGGCAATATGATCATCGAAAGTCAATATGGTGCGGCTAATAGCATGTCCGAATATGTGAAGAGCAGGAGAACCATGAATCATGCCATAGTTATCGGCACCCTTGCCCATAAGGCAGCTAGCCCTCTCCAAGCGAAGTGCGGGTTGGATTTTAGCATCGCAAGTCCATGAACAGTCCAATTCGTCCACATCTGGGAACCCGGCGTTCCATAACCGGCCAGTGCAGCCGAGTTGAAATTCAATCGCATCATGTACAAACCGCTGTTCAACATAATTGACGATGATGCAGTGGACTTGAGCAGCTCGTACGTCCTGGCGGCCTGCCTGTGCAACCAAGGGATTCTGCGCTCATTGATAGTCTCGCGTGCCGGCAGAAAAGTGATTGCTAGTTTTTGCAGCTGGCTCTGCGATCAACGAACGCTTCGAGTATCATATTATCAAGTGAAGGGTAAAATGTATGCAAGCGTCTTCTATCATATCCTTGCGCAGATGAAAGCTCCCTCCCTCACACGGAAGCCTGAAGCTCGCTTCACAATTTGCCTGGCATGGTTCGGTGAGCGTGAATCGATCAGCTACGTAACCAGGTTGAGAAGTGTTGAGAGACCTTCTGGCTACCGTAGATAGGAGTTATCTAAGGTTGCACAGCACCCTCTGTAAGGGGCAGTTTGAGGAAGTCCTCTCACCTGTATAATAACCTATAATCAATGGTGCATGGTCTGGCTGGTCTGGCACATGGGTCGCCTTGGAGCACATTCTTATTGATGATGCTCCATATAAGATGAACCGAATGACTCTCAATCAGACGGCCGCAGTCGACAATATCAGAGGGATCAAAACTCACCTGGTACTGCTTCCCGTTGAGGGCCATGTTTGTTATGGCTAGTCTTCCGTCTCCCGCAGTTTCGTCCCAATTGTTCATCTGACGAGGTGAAGACCCTTTTTTGAGGAGATTATGGATTAAAGCTTTTTAGCTCGTCCATGGACAGTCATTCCACCCATTCCACCAAGCTGAATAAGTCCGCCAGCCAGCAATGATCTATTTGAAGAATCAGAGAGATTTATCCGAACTCGGCGCGCTGGTCACTTGTTGCCTATTTGACGGTTTCAAAGAGCCCAAAAAGCTCTTTGTGGGCATCTCGTATGACCTGATCATTTCATCGAGTCCGGAAGCCTCGCCTCTACATCACGGTGACAGGACAACGCTGGTGATTCTTGTGGCACAATTGTTCCAAATTGAATATGAGGACTGATTGCAGCCCCCCAGCACTGGAAGCGATCTCCAAAGAAACCGCCACCGAAAGCTGCAGAAAGGTGTTACGGAAGGTTCGCCGGGCAAAAAAAGGGTTCAACCCACGGCTGGGTAGAATAAGGGATATCCTTTTCATGAGGGGGAAATCCATCGAGAGCGGCATTAAAAAGAGTAAAGACCATGGCAGCAGCGACAGATGATCGACAGGGTTGGTGGGCCATCTATTGGCGGGCCGTCCTCCCGTCTTGTGGCGTTTGCGACCCTGTTTTAAACTGCAAGCCTTGGATAGGCTTGAGAGTGCCCTGGTTGCCCACTTTCACGTGTGTCCTCGTAGCGATCCAAGCATCACTTGCTACACATATATTAACCCTACATCATGTGTAATATAAACATGTCCATAATCTCCCAATAGACGTAACGAGCCTTGGCGGATTCAGATCCTAGCAATGTTCCTCAAGACTCCGAGACGGAGACTCCTCTCGTTATACTCAATGCCAGCATGATTGGTCGTTGGATACATGCCAAAAGACGATCTCATGCAATCTGAGTGAGCAATACAGGGCCTCCACCAATCCCCGTGTCTTCAAGCGAGCCATCCTGGTGCGTCTCTTGAGGGATCCAACACCGATATACCAGGCTCGGGATGTCCTGATACAGCTAGACCGGTGCTGTTCTCGCAGGTGCTTTTGATGTCTGCAGCAAACACAACCATGAGTGACGGAAGAATGATGCTCGAAGGTACAAACAGCTCAGGATCGAGAAAGAACGAAAGGGCCACCCGTAATCGAAGAAAGTGAGATTGAAGGATGCCCTTGAACACGAGCTATAAATATGGGGATGGTGTCAGTCAGACCGCAGATTCTCGAAACCACAGACCCAATACTCGGTATCATTGTCTACACTTCAAACAATTGAGCTATCAAGATGACTGTCACCACTCTTCCAGCGTTCAACGATCTGGTTGCGCATGCTCTCATTTCTCATAGCACCATCCAGCCAGAGCAGCTGATTGTGCTTGATAACTCGTCCAAATATCAGCCCCATGGGTTCAAACAGAACACCAACCAGGAGCAAAATCTGGCTGCCATCTTCAACACCATGGCTACCCTTAACCGTCTGGCGCTGGAAGATCCACGCACTTGCGCTGGAAAGCTAGGGCCATCCTTCCGCGATGCTCTGCTTCAGGCTGCGGACGAAATTGCCATGCTCGCCGACAACCGTCCCATCCGCTATGTCGAGCTCGGCCCGGAACCTTGGAAGTCAAGGGCCATTCTCGAACGACTACTTGCTAGGGGCGTGAGCCTTTGCCAGTACGTGGGCATTGATATCAATCCTGAATCCGAGCGGACCATGCGGGAAGCTTTGGCACCTGTTACCGGAGAGGAGAGGTTCAGCTATTGGGTCGAAGATTTTTACAAATGCTCCGTCGCTGGTTTCCCAAAGCCTAAAGGCGAAACCACCCCTTCTGAGAGCCTAGTCACTGTTGTGACCAACCTTGGCTTCCAGGAGGGCAACGATTTGCCTGCACGAATTGGACCCATGCTGAAAAGCATAACCCGGTCGGGTGACATTCTGCTTTCGGAGATGCAGGTTTTTGGCGGGGGTGCTGATCCGAGCCTCATCGAGCAGTTCTACCAGCATCCGGAAATGAATCGATTCTCAGGCCTGGTTGGCGAATGCTTTGAATCAGATGGCGCTGCTGCGGCATCGGGATCTGCCGCAGCTGTGGCCAGCAAGCATGTCTTTCACCTGTTGCCCCTGCAGACCGAGATTGGAAGCGTGAACGTCGCCACCACGCTTGCTCCCGTCCGCGTCAATGGGCACAGGAAGTACGTGCTAACCAACAGTTGCCTCAAGTACACTAGGGAGCAGTTCCAGCAGGCTAGGGAATACTCGGGAGATTTCGTGGTGAAACTCTGGCAGGAGACCGGGGACAAGTCTGTGGTCTTCCAGGTGTCTGAACGACGTTAGGAGACGACCGAATGAGGTAATCTGTGAATTCTCCGCGGTTGGTCGTCCGTCGTCGATCCACTTGAGACACAGCAAGGATGGGAAACTTGTATCCTAGGAAAGGAAACAATTGTTGCGAGAATCAAGGAATATACGTAAATGTGTGTGCGGGGCCGGTCAGCCACCCCTGTCGACGGAGTAATATAGAGACCTATTTAGCGCCATCTGGTTGCATAGAGAGAGTTGGATCGATCTGACAAAGATCGACAGTGGCAGAGGGTGATAACTACCTTGATCAGTTAGATTCGGGCAGGGATTATCAAGTCGCAGTTTAATCAATCACCCAAGTACTTTTGCGCTGAAGTAGATTAGGCTGAGCATCCCTTTGATGGAAACCCTGCCCACCAACCACTCTGATGCAATATGCCCAGCTGCTTTCTTACACATGATCTTGCGAGCTTTGGCATTACCCCTCTTTGCACTCTCCTAGACTTGTCCTTTGTTTTCTGATTTTTGTCACTGATTGTTTCTTGTTCATTCCATCAACTACTTTCGAATGGACCGCCCACAGATTTCATCCGAGAAGCCTTCTGAGTGCTCTGAGAAGTCTTTGACTCGACCCGTCCACACGTCGCAGGATGAGATAATCAGCTACCCGGAAGGAGGTATCGCGGCCTGGACAGTCGCCCTAGGCTCGTGGTGCTGCATGACGGCAGGACTGGGTCTGGTCAACTCCGTGGGTGTGCTGGAGGCCTATGTTTCTACGAACCTCTTGAAAAACACCTCTACGGACTCTACGGGGTGGATATTCGGCATTTATGTCTTCGTTTCTTACTTTTGCGGCCTACAAGTCGGACCGATATTTGACGCCAGGGGCCCTAGGGAGCTCATCATGATAGGGAGCGTCTTTCTCCTAGTCGGAACGTTTACTCTTGGTTTATGTACAGGTTTGTTGTTAATGATACAGCCTTTTCCGCTATCGATTTCCCTGTAAGAAAGGGAGCTAATATATTTAGAATCAAGAGTACTATCAATTCGTCCTCGCCTTCTCCATCCTCAGCGGTATTGGAAACTCCTTTCTCTTTACTCCTGCAATGGGCGCCATCTCCCACTGGTTCGATAAACGCCGCGGCGAAGCATCCGGCTTCGCATTCACCGGCAGTGGATTCGGCGGTGTCCTCTTCCCCCTCATGATGCAATCCCTGCTCCCCAAAGTGGGCTGGGCCTGGGCAACACGCATCGTAGGCTTCGTGCTCCTCGTCCTCTGTGTGATCAGTGTTCTTCTCTGCCGAAGTCGCCTCCCACCCAAGAAAGGCGCCGCAACTTCCTGGCGCGATATGCTCCCCGACCCTCGTATATTCTGGGACGGCACCGGCGCGATGGCCGTAACAACCGCCGGAGTGTTTCTCATTGAATGGGCGTATTTCGTCCCCGTCACATACGTTCCCAGCTACTATCTTACGCGTCAGGGCCTTTCAAATGCCGAGGCCGTCAGCGGTGCAGCAGCGTTCGCGTACCAGCTCCTCGCTATCCTAAACGCAGTCTCCTGTTTCGGACGATATTTCATCGGCTACATAGCGGATAAAAGCGGGCGTTATAATACCATGATCGTGTCTAATCTCGTCTGCCTGGCTGCTGTGATCGGGCTATGGTTACCGGATGCATTAGCGGGGACAGCGCCTAGTAAGGCGCTGATGATCATGTTCGTTATTGTGTTTGGGTTCGCGAGTGGTTCGAATATCAGTCTGATGCCTGTGTGCCTGGGGCAGCTGTGTGAGACTCAAGACTACGGGAGGTACTATGCCAGTGCGTATACGGTTGCTAGTATAGGATGTTTGACGGGCATCCCAATTGCGGGGAGCTTGATCACGGCTACGGAGGGGGGTAGAAGGGGCTTTTGGAGTGTCATCCTGTTCACTGGGCTGAGCTATGTGGCGTCATTTGCCTGCTTTCTTTGGGTACGCGTGCGGATCAAGGGTTGGGATGTGAAGACAATTTGGTGAGCATCAGGTCTTGTGGCACCAACCAAACAGTTTGTGACCAGCAGAAACTCGATTACACCGGCAATTGAGAAAAGCAATTTTCCTCAAGCAAGCCAACTATGAATGTTCCCTCAGGAATGTGACCAGTAACTCTGCCAGCTTTTCCGGCTGATCCTCTGGAGAAAAGTGCCCGCTATCCTCGATAATTTCCAATTGTGACCCGGGTATAGATTCATGCAATTTATGCGCCCAATGAGGAATCTGCCACCCGTCCTTCGCACCCCAGATCAGCTTCACAGGCAATTTCCCCAGCTCACCCAACCGGTCGGCAATCTCCAGCGTATGCTTGGGATCATAGAACCGGACCTGATGCTGGTAGAGACTAGCCTGACCGACGGGGCCAGAAATATATCCCAGGAAGGTGTCGAGGCTCGACCTCTCAAGTTGCTCGCGTTTCTGCACAGCAGACAGCAACCACTCCCTATAATGCTCGCGATGTTCTGCATCAGGCGCCCGGATCAGAGACTCCAGTCCGTCCTCCATCTGCTTCTTCGTCCTCGCCGAAGGATAACTGTCAAAACTGACCACATCAACGAGCGTCAGGGAACGAATCCTCTGTGGCGAGAAAATGGCAAAGCGCTGTGCAATCCCTCCGCCAATGTCATGGGCTACTAGATGGGTTGTTTCCAGACCCCAGTGCGCCAGTAAGTCCTCCAGTATCGGCACCTGGCCCGAGATAGAGGTATCGATGGATGGATCCCAGGGGCGTTCCGAGAGCCCGTAGCCAAGCCAGTCGAAGACATGGACTCTGTAGTGGGCGCTTGTCAGATGAGGCACGACCTTTCGCCAGATCAGCGAGCTGGACGGTGTCCCATGTAGTAGGACGACGGGTTCTCCGGCATTTTCTCCGTAGATGCCATAGGCGATTCGAGTGCCGCGGATCAACACGTGTTCTTTGACTAGAGGTTGCATATTTCTCTGCCTAGCTTTGGGATAATAGCGATGTAAATCCTGGATAATACAGACAGAAGTTAAGTCCCCTGAGGTTCAGCTCTTCGATAAATTGACCCTTTGAATTATGGCAAATTATGGCTCTCTTGCGAAAATGACATTCGTTTATATGGCTGGTGAGGAAGATGATGTCATCTATCGCGTAGCTTGGAAGTACCTGCACATACCAGCTTGGCCATGTTTTATCCCTAGTTTCACATAAGGCGGGACCTCGACACCTTGAGGGATGGAGAAAGGGCCCCTAGAGATTCATTATCCACATCACAGTCCCTTGCAGGTTCAGCTTTCGTACCATTCGCACTCTGGCTCGTTCTCGGTGCCACCTGTCAATATCAGTCCACCATCGTCTTTTACAGAATGCCTTAAACGGAAGATTTACCAGATACTTGATAAGCTACATGTAAGGTCTTACGGAGGGTTTGTTACAAGCCGGAAAGCCTATATAGAGGAGAGAAAATCTGATGCGACTGGAGAATCCAGCACACTATGTGCCTTGTCCCAGATCTCGATATACAAGTCGCGCCTGAAACTACCTTCCATATGTGCAATTCCAAAGCCTCAGTGTCGAGCCAAGGTAATCCGTGCATGGTCACACCTGTTATAATAGACGTCCCTGTTCCGAGATGATCGCACAGATTCGATCCATAAAGAGTTTCATACTGAGCGACTGCATGCCCGAATAAGCTGTATTATGATGGCCCCGATGGTGCTGTACTATCCAAAGGAGGAAATCAGTTTCACTCTCAACATTTTTTGTTTCCAGATTGTCTATTCTGCTTCAGGCTGCTCCTGCATTGCTGCCAACAAGGCACTGCAAACAGTCGAGTTCTGCTACCCAAAGGCCAAATTGGCGTGTCCTACAAGATTTTACTGTCAATGTATGTGTCCCATATTTTGTCAAGCCATTTTACTAAGCGTCACGCAGATCAATGCTGGCCAGTCTGACGCTTTTGTCAGGCCTCCTGGTCATGGAAAGTCTGGCGTGATCTCGGTGTTAGAGCGATATTACAATCTGACATCCGGCCGCATGACATCGGATGCGTTAGATATCGCTAATATGCCCCCTCCTTACCGTAGTCAACTTTCTCTGTCCAGCAGGAAATAGTCCGCTACCGAGGGATCATTCAAGAGTATATCACCTTAACCTTAGAGGCTGAGACATCAGAGAACGATATCTACAATGCATGTTGACAGGCAAATGTCTATGACTTTATCTTTTCTCTTTCGGAGGACACGCGACTCCCTGTGGCTCAAGGGGAACTCTCTTCGATGGACAGCGTCCGCGATTTGCCATTCCGAGAGCCCTTATCCGGGAACCCTGGTTGCTCTTGTTGATGAAGCAACATCCGCTTCGGATATGGAGAGTGAGAAGATCGTACAGGCGGCGTTGGATGCGACGAAAATGGGCCTGACAACGATCACTATTGCCCACTGTCTGTCGACGGGTAAGCATTCAGACCGGATTTCTGTTCTTATTGTGACTATGGTCTATACTGCAATATATTATAGATTGGATTACTGAGTAATACTCTCCACTCAGATACTAGGGGACCCATATAATACCGAATCACTAGAATCGTGTGATGCCCTCTTATTATGCCTGAGCGGCCTTCTGTCGGGTAGGGTTTGAAAAATAATCATTCTAGGGTTGCCAAAACACGGATTTCAATATCGAGCTCCACTATAGACTTGGTTATGTCTTCCATTATGCCCGGCGAATGTGGCTCCGAATGCCGTCTTTCAGCTGAGCCACATAGCTTAAAGAATAATAGACGTCAATGAGTTGTTCGCATTATGCATACTGTTTAGCACTAAGCGGGCCTAAGCGCAGGAGCTGCATGCAATTTAGTATCTAACCTCACTTGGAGGGCCCCCTCAGTCCATCATTGCCGGCTTCTAAACTGATTGGTCTTGTCTGAACTAAAATAGTAAGACATTCGTAGGCCGCAATATGCACGAGTGACAGGTGACAACAGATAAAATCTAACGCACTCGAGTGAGAAAGAAGTTGAGCCCCTGGTGATCTGCTGGCATCCACTCACTGTCCTCCCCTTCCATTCCCCATTCCTTCAACTCGACCACCGTCGCTTCCACCTTCCACTCGGTGCTAGTCTCGTGGGAAATCTCCTGCCACATCTGCTGGAAACTCTCGAGGCTATGGTAGAACATCATCCCCCATGGACGAAGATACTCCCGGGCTCGGTGCCGTAACTGCTGATATCCGATCAAGACGGTCCCAAGCTTGGACAGGGCCACGATGCGCTTGCCTGCCTGTTTTTGTCCCTCCCAGGAGAAGAGATGAAGGAACTGCCCAGAAATCATGATTTCCACCTTCCCGTACAGCTCCTGCAGACCAAGACAGTCATCTTCATGTAGAAAGTTGCCCGGAATAAACGTTGCCGACAATCGATCGCGATCCCGAAAGAGCTCGTACCCCAAATGCCACAATTCCGGACTCAGATCGAGCGCCCACATTCTATCGGAAGGAACCCCAGAAGCCGCCAGGAGTCGAAGATTCTGGCCGAGGCCGCACCCGAGGTCTAGCACGGCCCCTCCCTGGCGCGCCAGCTCAACCACTCGCGGGAATTGGGGGAATGCGGCGATGCCCGGTAGGAGAAACATCCATAGGCCGATGCAGGGATATTCGCCGTACTTCCATGCTTTGTCGCGCTGAGGCCATGTTTCAGATTCAGTTTATCAGTGCGCCACTGAGGAGAACAACTCACCACTGCATGAAGATGATGCTCCAGCTCCTCACTGGGAATGTTGCTCCATTCTTCTAGGATCTGACGCATGGATGGGCTGAGCCGGGGCCCAATGTCTTTTTTGTACCAAACAGATGTGTCGATCGACATCTTCAGCTGCTTCTGCGTTACTGAGCCTTCTGAGTCTTACTGAAGATATCCAGACTCTATAACGATTGACTGCAGAAGATGGGGTTAGAGGTACAGGGGTGGGGAAGAAGAGATGCCATGTTCAGCAAGAGAAAAGTGGAAAGAGACCAGTTTTGTCACTGTGAATGTTTATTATTTTATGTTTATTTATATTATTTCTTAGTATTCATAGCTCCTTCCTTTCTAGATGTAGTGGAACTATAATGTATAGCTATTCACAAGCATAATTATGGCAGGTTTTTTTACTAGTGAATTAAAGGTCTCTGCTAGAGCTTGAATACAGGATATATTATTCACAAAAGTACGCATTCCTCCTCATCCTGCATATGCATATAGTTTTTAAGCAATCATATACCACTTTGAATATCTCCATCGCATCTAACCTACTAATATTGATCCCTTCTTCCGAGCAACACACACAGCCCTCGGCATCGACAACCCAACCCCCAGCCTCGACTCCTCTGCCAACCCCCTAATCATCAAATCAATATTACCTGCATCCTCAAATTGCCCCGCACGTTTAAGCCGAGCTGAAAACTCCTCCATGACCAGAATGTACTGGTCCCCATTCGCCTTCCACAACTCCGGCCGGTCCGTGTAGCTGGCTAATTGCGCATTCTCAAACCCACCATGGCGCGACATCAGATGATGAGGGAGATCGAGGACCCAGTCATTGCGCCCATTCGACTGTGCGAATCGAAGAAAGGCATTGTGCGCCGGGGTGGCCACGTCACTCATGGCCTTGCTTTTCACCACCTTGCTGTCTGGGTAGTTCAGGTCGTCCCACTGGATGTAGCCGCCGGGCTTGAGCATCTGGTGCACCTTGTCGATGATTGGGAGGGGGTCGCTGTTCTGCACGACGAGGACTAGCAGGCGGAGGTGGACTACGTCGTATTTGCCGCGGAGGTCGCTGGGGACGCTATCAAAGATGTTCAGCTGGCGGAGTGTGATGGGCGGCGGGAGCCATTCGGGGTGAGGGGCGTTTGTCAGGTCGATGTCGAAGCCATCCAGCTGGATGGATGTGTACTGGGTTACTGCAGGATTCCGGAGGAGGTCCAGGAGCCAGATGGCTGTGCCCGTGGCTAGGTCAGCAATGCAGAGAGGAGTAGAATCATCCTTTCGCAGTTGGATGGACGGATGGAGGTTGAATTGGAGGGTGTCTTTCCAGAGGTAGAACTGGTAGTTTAGTCGGGATGCCGCGGTGTAGCTTCGGTCTAGCATGTAGTCGAGCTCGTTTCCGAGGTTGAACCCGGAGCTGATGGTGTTGTCGATTTTCGTCATGTTGGGTTTGGTATAGGAATGTTGCATTGGGTTTCGTAACTATTGGGGGTATTCTGGCTTCACAGTCAAAGGAATCACCTCCTATTATGCTACTATATATATACACATCCTTGCATCTTAATGAAACGTTTAATCCATAATATAGCTAACTATAGTATGATAAATCCAGCTGAAGCACTTAAAGCTCGCTATTACATGTCCCATAAAAAGTAAGCACACGAGTCACATCGCCAGGCTGTAACACCATTATAGCAATAATAAACGAGGAGGTCACATTCGTAAGATCTGACGCCCCACTGGGGTGCATTATAAGAGTGGCTGGCGTAGAAGACCATGTTCAGGAGTCCAGAGAGCTAATGCATTCAGTACGAGATGGTCGTTCTGCAGCTATAGAGGAAGCAGAGTTGGATAGCGCGGTATAAATATTACAACCTCGCTTCTTGCTCGCTAGGATGTGTACACCCGAAGCTCACTTGACCAAAAACTATCATCATGACGCTCAAGAACCTACGACTTGGGCTAGCCATTGGCCATGGCACAGGCCGGGAGCTGATTGCGGTCTTCAAGAAGGTCATCCAAGTGTTAGCAAGCAAGTACTCTCTACATGTCGAATTCATCGAAGCATCCCGTATATACCATTCGTATCATACGCTCACTGTCTCCGGAGAAGAAAAAGACCTGATCAAACACATCGCGGACGAAACGACCCAAGATGCAGAGGACTACCGCAATTTCTGCGAGACAGCTGCATCCAAAGGAATTGCTGCAATATTCCGCACGGCAATCCACGCCCAGTCGCTCTATCTCGTTCGGGATCAACTGAAGGCCGTCAAAATTGAACATTTCGACCTGGGGGACTCAAATGCCCTGCTCTTCATTCGAGATGAGGCTCAGGGCTTCTACGCTGGTGTCAATGAGTACCACAACGACAATCACAGCATTACACGAACCAGCCCCTTTAGTCGCTCCACCTTTGACCAAATCCTGGCATATTCTCTGGAGAGAGCCACGGAGGAGTGGGGCGTGGAAAATGTCCCGAAATCAGTCACGCTTGTTTACAAATTCCACCTCTTCGACGGGGTCTTCCAAGCCTGGGCACCACATTGGAGGTCCCGCTTCGGCATTGATGTCGACTTCATCCAGCCAGACACCATGAATCGGAATCTCATGGCGTGGGGCGTTCGCGGCCGCCGCATCATCATTGCTGGCAACGAATACGCCGACATCATCCAGCCTGTTTTCTTGAAATGGTTCGGCAACTCCACCATTGAAACCATGTACGCGGAGAACGTGTACTTGAGCCCCAACCTGCATCGCCTCAGCGAGTACCAGACGGTGCATGGGTCTGCGGATGCAATCGCCGGCCAAGGCCTAGTCAATCCGTTCGCTACCATCCGCGCCGCGGCTGCCATTCTCGAACGGCGCGGAGGATGCCCTGGTGTTGGATTCCAACGTCGCACGGAAAAGGCTATCGAAAGTCTTGTCATGAGAAAGCTTACCACTCCTGACCAGGGCGGCTCGTGCAGCACGGATGCGGTAGTCGGGCATTTTCTGCACGCCATTGCTGATCCTCCGGCTCCTGAGACCACTGTTGTCCGTGCCAATACAGCCTCAGGGCTACCCAATGCCTGGATAGGTAAGAAGTCCGCCGTGATAATAGTGGACTACCAGAACGACTTCATCTCAAGCACACCCAGCCCTTCCGTGTCAGAATTGTCTAACACGATTCCACGACTCGTACAATGTGCCCGCAATGAGGGAAGCGAAGTTATCTTTGTGCGCTTCCTAGGAGACGCCCGCTTCCAAGGTCCCAGCATGAAGCACCGGAATGCATTGCTAGGAAAATCGGAGAAATGCGTTGAGGGCACCTGGGGAGCGGAGCTTGGATCAGGCGTCACCCCTGAGGCTGACGAGCGGGTCTTTGATAAGAAGGCCTTGTTCGATCCTTTCCTGGTTCCAGAGTTCTCGGAGTACATAACCAAGCAGGGGATTGAGCATCTGGTGCTGGCGGGGTTGTACAGTGATGTGTGTGTTGATTCCACGGCCCGGACGGCCTTTCAAAAGGGGCTGTGGGTTACTGTTGTTGAGGACTGCACCGCTGCTTTGCATGCAGACCAAAGTGAACATTTGAGGTTCATGGAGAAGATGTATGGGGCCCGTGTTGGAAAGGTGGCAGCCTTGTTTAGGATGAAGGCTTAGCTGACTGACTTTCTAGAGGGTAGCACATGGGATTAGTATATTTGCAAATGGCTTAGCCCAGCCTTACGGTGTTGTTGGCATATCCAACTCATTTAATTGAGGACAACTACTGGTTTTGATCGGTCCCGTGACACTCGCATGCATAGTATCCTGCATATTGTTGTAGCTTATTATCGAAATCGCGGAATCTCATGCCCTTACTGTATTACAGTCGTCGAAAATGACGTGTTAGCTATATTACAATGAATTATATACTTATGTGGCTATTCGACCGGCACAAGATCAGGCAAGCGGATGCCTCGGTAGTTAGAGTATAGAAAAGCAGGAGGGGCAATGAGGTGGATACATCCCGGCAGGGCAAGTATTCAAATAAATCCCTTTGTCCTATAAACATAGCACATTCCACAATTCACTCTAAGGAGAGAATGGATTGGTGTAGCCAGGACAAGTGCCATTTGCAGGAACAAAGAAGCCTGTCGTGTCCGCATGCGCCTTGCCAGCAGGGTCAGTTATAGTCAGCAACGCCTGACCGGGACCGCCACCATTGGCCCACATGAAAGTAAAGGGAACAAGCTCTCCGACGCCTACTTGGACCGTAACTGAGCCAGCCTGTGGGATATAGTTACCCGCCAGGTAGTCGTCGTTGTTTTTCTGGTAGTCACTGTACGCCTTTGTCCCGTGCCAGGCATAGAAGGCATTGTCGGTGGTGGCGCCTGAGGATAGGGTGTAGTTGCCAGGCCCCTCTTTTGCCCAAAGGTAGCCTTGTATAACGATGCAGACGAACTCACATGGTTCGTTGGCTGGTAGGTTACATGTGTGGCTTGTGCTTGGGTAGTTCACGGTTTGGAAGCTGGCAACATTCTGGACATAGCCGCTAAAGTTATAGTTAGGGCTGTTGAATGTTTGAGGATCAAACGTGATTGCATGGCCGGGGAAGTAGTTTTGAGAACTGTAGTAATAGTACCAGTTCAAGCCGAGCTGCGTGTTGGTCGGGACTGGGGTATATGACGTGGTTGTAGTTGTCACGGTGGATGTTGCAGTGGAAACAGCAGTAACAACCAGGGCAGTTGAGGTTATGGTCAATGTGACCTCTCTGTCAAGAGATTAGTGCTCAGTAGAAAGAACAGGTAGTATGACTAGCTTACTTTGTCGTTGTCGGAATTGTTGTTACCTCCACAGTGGCTGTCAACGTGCCCGAGGCTACCCACTTGGATGTGGTGGAAGTGACAGTAAGAGAAGGTCCCAGAAAACATTCACAGGCCGAAGAAAGCAAAGACGCCTCCAATGGTGGTACCCAGGTGGGCATGGGGATCGGCAAAGTCGGTAGAGGGATTGTAGGGAGAGAGATAGTTGGGAGTTGTCTCTTCTCTAAGCCACGGGCCACAGGTGCCAGAGTTGGCTGACTGCCAAAGCTAGTTCCAGCATAGCATTGCACGGTGGGAGAAGTGACTGTGACGGCTTTCGTTGATACCTATGATGTGGTCAGAGGAGCTCTATGATCGAGGTCTCAGTGCAGTACATACGTAAGGAATGTCAAACGTCTGTGTTATGGTTGTACTCTGTATGCTGTCAGCACAGGACATTCACAACTCAAATTGAAGATACTTACTGTACTCCTGATGTCAACCAAAGTCTCGGTGATTGTGAAAGGTGCAGGCACAGTCTTAACGCTGATAGTGGTCGCTGCTGGTGTGGTGATGGTGGTGGACTCCACCACAGTAGAGATGCTAACATGCTGAGAGCAAAAAGCAGATGCAAGTGGCTCCGTGCCGAGGACAGAGACTGCACCAGCCAAGCAGCTACAGTCCGAGAACAAAGCTGCTGCTGAAACAGCCACAACCAGGATAGAGAAGATAGAGCTAAGCATGTTGAGTCGCAATAGTCTGTTCAACTGGAGGTTGGCGAAGCCATCTGTGGAGATTTATATGTTGTTACCTCTCCACAATGATCACAGTCATCAACAACAGATCGACACGAACATGAGATCCAAGAACCCGACTATTGAAGCGGCCACAGCTTGTCAATGCAGCTGATGAACAATCAAGGGGAAATGCAACGAGACTGAGCAGGCTCGTAGCCAGATAATTTCCGCGCAGTTCAGCTGCACAATTTTGCCTACTGCCAGCAGAACGTAGGTTCAGCTACTTGAGCATCAACAAGGGTAACAACCAGCCAGCCACGCTAGTTGATAGAGACATCAGTCGTCCAGTCGATTCGCTCAGGGGAGAAACGACTGCATACTTCGTATAAACACATGAACGACAGTTCTAGTGCATACAGAGTCTAATTGGTTCTTATTTACTCTTCGACTACAGTACGCTCCACGGAGTCTCCGGGTTGTCAGCACTACTCCAGAACCGTTAGGATCAGCAATGCAACCCCAGCCCTGACTGATGCAGTGCAAGGTGTTCGAGCAGCAACGAAAAGCGAGCCAATTGTTCTCTCCGAAAGTGCAGAGGACAGATGAATCACAACCAATAAGATCCAGGACGATGTGATAGAGCCTGCATGGTTGCGACATGGTTCTTCACACTGTGGTTGACGATGACTACCCTTCTAGTTGATTAAGAGCTCAGCAGAATTCCACAAGCCTGACACTGTTTCGATAGAAACTACAGCATTGACATGATTCTAATATGACATCCACAACTGAGAAATTGGACGACGGGTTAGACTTAAAGTTTTGACCAAGGGCTGATATTCCGACAACCTTAAACGTAAATGTCATAGACGGGGCATTGGCAACGAACTGAAAAGGTCCATCGGCTCAGAAACATGCTTAGCTTCCATGCCTGAGTCCCGAGTCGAACTTTGAGTGGTTTCTATAGGATCCTCGAGCGCGCAGATCTCATCTTATCCCACCAAATCACATCCCCACATTCCACCTGGTGCCTCTTTACCTCCCGGCAATTGGCATCTTCGGATGGATTATACTTTGTGGCCTCCAGCCTTCGTCTTGATTGCCCGGTCAGAATCGCTGCTGTCTATAGTAAGTTGGTTGACACATATCAGTTAACCAATTCACTCTCGTCCCTTGACTCCCTGCCGGGCTGCGCCGCAACATCCAGCGGGAGTCCCTGTCATTCTTGCGAGCATGCATGAGCATGTGCTTAAGCTCTCGTATTGCGATTACTCCTTGGCTACACTGGACGACTACCAAAAACAGACGATAGCCCCTGATCAGACAAGTCTTTGATCGAGTTTCAGGATACAAAAAGCATTTGCCCTAGGTTCAAAAATCGAACAAAGTCCGGATGATAAAAGGTCATTTTCTTATTCTGTATCCAACGAATCCTATCCCTTAGATTCTACTTAATTCAATATATTATAGTTGCAAAGAGAAGCATGATCAACTAACACATTCTATAATGAGTCTCCCCACTCCAATCCGAGGTGAATATGATCATAAAGACCGAGCCTAGCCAGTGGCAGGACGCACCAAAAGACTTCACACCAACCTCATGCAGGTGACGGAAGACGCTGCAGAGGAGCCAGACATATCAATCGATCAGGACTGGGCAGTTGGACTAGTTTCACCTAGGGAAAGCCCAACGGTAGTAGCCTGATCAACGGATCAACTCAATGCATTGACATGCGAGGACTAGCTGTACCAGAAAAGCCATCCAGCAGGAAGGGATGCTGTCCCTATTGAAATCTAAAGAACAACAAACATGACAACTGAGACGATTCCTGTTTTCGCAATCATTCTTTTCCAAAGGCCATCGGAGTCTCATTATCTGTTTCTGCCCCTTATAGTAAGCAAGCATGAACCATGACTGCCAGTCATACTTTATTGATCAGAGATTATACAGTCAAAGAATGTTCCTAAAACAGTATCCAACCACTATTGTCTGTATAATGTGATTCGTCATGCCACAGTCCCAAAGAGTACCCGAAACCGACCGACCAAGGTTCAATCCATATACATATACCATATATCCTTCCTCCAGTCCGATTACTAAGGATCGTCGCCTTGGACTGTCAGAAAGGTATACACGGATCTAAGGCAAGCCAGTCATCCGAACGGAGTAAGCCATCCCGTATGGATAATCCCTGCACAAGAAAAGAAACCTGGATAGTGGATACTACCACAAGCGGATTGCATGGAGGTCAACCCGCTCCACTGGACATATGAACCAACAAGATGAATCTCCGAGACTTGGGTCACTGATGAATTTTCACCGAACCTGAGACTTTTGCCATCGATCTGCTCCAGTCAATGACGGCATCGGTCGAGTCGAAGCCAATTGTAGGGCGTATCGGCCGTCTCGGGCGGAGTTCTCGGCATGCCGAAGCGGAAATGCAGCCGTCATGATCAATTGCATGGAGCGATCACTTGACGATGGGCATATTTTATCTTTCATCCTTCTCATTGCCTATTCACAAGTGTTCTTCATCCCTATATCCTTTGGGGCTATACTGTTCTGTTGAATGCGAATTGACTTTGAAGATGGCTGAACCAGAGATCCACAACGGGCGATCACCCCTACCCGTCGATGACGCAAGGCCCGCAAATTCTGCGACGAACACTCACCAGCAGAAAAAAAGTCTGATAGATAGGTTGGTGTGATGCAATGGAAAGGGTGTTGAGGTACTGACTATCTTCAGAGTGAAAGGATATCTCGGTTTTGAGGATATTAGTGGGGAGATACGAAATAAGGCAGACATCGAGATTCACAATTGGGATGGGCCTGATGATCCTGAGAATCCGTAAGTGATCAGGCCGAGTCGAGAGGCGTTGACTAAGAGACTCTAGGTTCAATTGGAGTACCAAGTACAAATGGCTTCTTACGTTGACGGTCTGCTTTATGTGAGTTTCGCACTTGTGCTCAATTCCACCCGGACGAGCAAGACGCTGACTCTCTAGTTCCATCTTAACCGGTCTCCCAGCTGGAACTTATGGATCCGGGAATAACTGGATGGAACAAGAATGGCATGTCCAGAATTCCCCTTTTCCCAACCTCTATTGGGCTACTACATCCTGGAACATGGGTGCGGCCTTTTGGCCGTTGATCTTTGTGCCTCTTACCGAATCCTCCGGTCGCATGCCTGGGTACTTTGTCGCGTATATTATCCTCGTCGCTACGCTATTCGGATCGGCTTTCGCCCAGAATTTTGCTACGATTATAGTAACTCGCTTCTTTGGCGGTGGTGCGTCATCTGTCTCGATCAATATCGTCGGAGGCAGTATCAGTGATGTGTGGAAGGGAGACAAAGCGCGCAGTCTGCCCATGTCTCTTTTTGGCTTTACGAGTGTGGTCGGGATTGCTCTAGGCCCATTTATTGGCTCGGCCATAGTGCAGATTCATAAGAATGATCCGTGGAGATGGTAAGAGACCATCTGTTATAGACGAACAATCTCTAATATATATGGCGACTAGGATCTTCTACATCCAGATCATCTACAACGCTGCTCTCATCCCTGTCTTCTGGCTAATCCTCCGTGAGACTCGTCCAGACGTGATCCTCAAGAAACGAGCCCGTAAGATCCGCAAGGAGACCGGACGTCCTGTCTACGCAGCTTCCGAGTTGAACGCCCCGAGTACCTTGCGTCTACTCAAAATCTCCTTCGCCCGTCCTGTCCACATGTTAGTCTCCGAGCCGGTCGTTCAATTTTTCACTCTGTGGATCAGTTTCGCCTGGGGTATCTTGTATCTGTTCTTTTCCAGCGTGGTCCAAACATACAGCACCAACTACGGTTGGGGTGTAATGGCCACTGGCTTGGTTCAGTTAGCCATCTCCGTCGGGGCCGTCATCGCCACCGTCATCAATCCCTTTCAGGACTGGCTCTACCTGCGATCTGCGAAGCGAAATACGGAGAGACCTGGCCGTCCCATTCCCGAGGCGAGACTGTACACTTCCATCCCCGGTAGTTTACTGTTCACCGCCGGGCTGTTCTGGTATGGCTGGGCTAGTCAGCCCGACGTCCACTGGATTGTTCCCACGATTGGAATCACAGCGGCTGGCATCGGGATCTACGAGATTTATATGGGGGTTGTTAATTTTCTAACTGACGCATACGAGAAATACGCTGCTTCTGCTTTGTCAGCTGCGTCGTTGGGTCGAAACTCATTCGGAGCGTTCCTCCCGCTTGCCTCGCCGCAGCTGTTTAGTAACCTCGGTTTTGGATGGGCTGGTTCTTTGCTAGGGTTTATTGGAGCTGCTCTATCCATTGTGCCTGTCGTTCTGGTGCTCAAGGGGCCGCAGATTCGTCGGAGGAGTCCATTCATGCGTGAGTCGACATGGGATCCGGAGGAGACGAGTGAGAGGGACGAGACGGGGGCTGAGAAGGGTGCCGATGTTTGATTTCCTGAATAGATTTGGCACTGATTCAGCAACTATCTGGATCGTTTATAACAAGCCAGGAGAGAAGTGATGATGATGATATGACTGGGATGCCATACAACTATTGAAAAGGAAGGTCGAGGACTGTGGGTAGGCAGTCGTCCCCTGATGGGCTGAGGACTCAGTATAGGCCCCAAAAGATATACATTCCAGACGCTGTAGTCTACCTTAGAAACAACAATGTACATATTTGGTATTGTGTTTATTGTAGAATATTGGAAGGAAAAATATCAAAGTGCATAAGATTCGTTACTACCTTGATGGTTATCTTGATACTATTCTACTGTATGTGTGTGTGTGTGTATATTTTACGGCCGTGGCTCGTGACTTGCACGTTTTCCACTATCCCTGATCAGGGCAAAGGCCGCCAGGGGGTGAGCCCTGGGTGTCTCTAACTATTGCTAGTTCTATGTAC